TAACGAGGCAAACTAGATCTACCGACCGACATGAATAGTGCGCCAAGAATGATGGAGATACTTGGCGTTTTCAGGACTTGATCGCACCTTCCGACAAGATGAAGAACTCTATGGACATCTCATTGTCTGCAAAACGCACCTCCAGCGCTTCGCTCGCTCTGCCCCTCCCTCATGCCACCACGTCACCGAAGCATATCGTACATGTGATATACACGCAGACATCTGATGAATACTTGAACGATCAAGACAAGGAAAAACCTTCCGGCCCTCGACACCGTGAGTTGCAGTGCGTTTGCGACCGCAATCCGTCAACTTCACCATACCCGGGTGTTGCGGACGCTACGATCGGACCTCCCATCATCGCTTTGCATGCCGCGATCCGTGATGGCACGTGTCGCTACATAAACGGACGATTGATTGCGCCCCGGTGTTGACAGACATCACCCGTCGTTCGGTGGAGGTGGCCATCAAAACGCAACGGACCAAACACGCGCTGCGCTGGCTCACCCAATCGCACGACAAGTATTTTAATGCTTGGAGGTCCTGGGCGTACCAAGGCGGATCTACCGGTTCGGGTATGGTCATGCATACATGGCTGCGTAGCCGGGAACGGCCTTTACGCATCAGCAGGTCTTCGCTGGCTTTCGTGGCTAAAGATCTAGACTTGCTTCTTGAGCCGTCGGCGGCGCACGCTGGTCAACGACGGGATCGGACATCGTCTTTTCTAGATTCTCTCGTACTACAAGCGGTAAGTCGATGGATAGGGCGTGGCTGGGAACTACACTTTTCCACTACGTTACCTGACGAAGTCCCTCCTCCGGAGGGTTCTGATTATCAACTACGCGCGGTGCGTCAATTTTGGGGGACGTTTGGCTGGTCCGGCAATCCGTGGATCCGGGATGCTAAAGGTGTGAAGTTGTTGCACTCGAAGTTCAATCAAATAGCCGCCTGCTCTATCGCTGACCTGCACATTTGGAGGACGGGCCCGACCACCTATGTTTTCACCATCCCGCCCTCGCGGTCAGAGGGAGTCACGTATTCCCAGCCGAAGCTTCGCCGGTGGGCGACAGCAATTTTATTGGCGTCTCCGTTATGTACGGTCGGGTCAGAATTGGGCGTGGCGGCAGCATTATCTCTTCGGCATCCCCCCCCCATTTCGTTATGAATATGACTGGGTCACTGTGAGTCGGGGTTGCGTCGTGGGAGCTCGCAGGAATTCACTAGAGGAGAGAGACGGAATGGTGCAGTTACGCCAGGGCTCCGATGGGCTGCATTGGTTGTTTCAAGACGGCCTACCCGAGCTCCACACGGCGTCGGACGGTGACAGCCAGCGATGGGCTACGCACATCCGGCAGCACGGCGTGGTCTTTTATGCTCACCCAAGTCACCACCACTTTGCGTGGGGAGTACCCGACACGGTTCCTAATGGAGCTCTCCGTCAGGCTATTTTGCACCGGGCTTTCTCGCTGCACAAACACCGACTAACTCGGCCTTTACTACCCTTATTGGAGCGGCTGGATGCAGTCTATCGAGAGGATTCGTGGCTAAGGGCGGCGGCGCATCAGCAACCATCCCAACTTTGGAAACATGATAACGGACTCTCCGACTATCAAGTTTGGACGGCGTATCGAGTCGCCACCAAGCAGCTAAATTTTCATCATGCCGGGCGGGCTGCCGACCCCAGCTGCCGGGCCCTGCCTACGTGTCACGGGGTGCCCGAAACGTCGAGGCACGTCTTTTGGGATTGTCAGAAGGCGCGGGCGTGCTGGGCTAAGTTCATCAGCCATTGGATCGGCGCTTCTGTGTCGAGTGCGGTAGTCCATAGTTGTCTCAGCAACTGTGCGAATCGACAGGCTCCGGCGATCCCGGCGTTTCAGCGGTCTCGGTTGCTCGAGCGGTTTCACGATGATGCCGCAGCGGGGGAAAAGGTGTGGCGACGGATTTGGTTTTTAATGTGTTCCGTTTGCATTACGCATTTATGGAGCGAGCGCAACGATGCCGTGTTCAGAGGCGTGCAGTCTACGACGGCTCAAAGTGTCGTCCATTTCTGGACAACCGGCGTCCGTCAATTAACGGCCTTGGCTATGCGTGAGCATAGAGGGGCGTCGACAGTTCTTCGAGGGGCTCGATTACATGCCTCCCTTGAACTTTTTACTCTTGAGGCTAGCGGAGTTTCGCTACCACTAGAGAGGTGCCTTGATCCACCGCCGCGACCGGCGCTGTATTCTAGGCTTAGAAGATTTCAGACTTCTAGCGCGTAACCATCATGTGCAATAGACAGTCATGAATCTCTCTCTCTCACAGACATCACCCGTCGCCATGTTGTTTTGCTGCATCAACAACAACTCGCTGATCCGCACGGCAACACGTGGCTTGCTGGGACATCTCGATCGACCGAACCGATTTGGTCGATTGCGACAAAGTGTGCATAGGGCGATCGAAGGCCGCTGCTTTTGCGGCGCCATCTTTTGACATACAAAGACTAAGTCAGTCGATGAAGCCAGGGAGGCTACACGCTTTTCCATGCTTCCAGTGCCATCTCGAGCGCTTGCTTGCGTAGGATGTGCACCCCCAAGCGGGCATGCCTCCCCTGAACAAGTGCTGTCGATTCGGGCCAGATTGGACGCGCATCACGCTCGTATGTCTGTCGGGGCGAGCAGTAAGTGGGATGGTGACGAATGGTTAATTTCATACCATCAAACGTTTCCTGACCATCCCGCTGTTGCTGATCACCGGATGGATACATTAGCCGCTTTCTGGGGCCGCTTTCACTGGGATGGCAATCCTTGGATTCAAGGGCCAGACGGCAAGCCCCTAGAGCGGGCCAAATATGCCCGGATACCTCCATGTTCACTGCGCAGTCTGTGCATTCGGCGACTGGGGTCACATGAATTTCAATTTACGTTCCCGTCTCTCGGCGGTACTTCGTCTCGGCATATGCATTGTAAATTACAACGTTGGGCGACTTCGATCCTGCTCTCGTCACCCCACCTTGCTGTCGGTGCGGGACCGGTAGAGCCCGGGCTCGTCTTACGTCATCCACCGCCGTTTCGGCGCGCTTATAAATGGTCCCGGGTGCGAGCTGATTTAATTGTCGGGTCCTGTCGGGACACTGTCGAGTCCGCGAACTCGGCGATTCGCCTCCGCCAAGATGTCAATGGAATCCATTGGCCGATTGACGGGAATTTACCAGAATTACGGGGGTCGCCTCAGCAAGTGTCTAACTACTGGGAGCATTCGTACCATCGTACCTTGGTGTTTCATGCCCACCCGGAGCTTCACCTTTTCCCTTGGAGTGTGCCAGAGACGGTGGCCAATGTAGATGTGTGGACAACGCTTATGAAGCAAGCGTTTCACGTTCATAAACGCCTTCTGCACCCTGGCCTCCAGTCCTGGTTGAAGGCCTATGACGCGCAGGCGGTATCGAATAGTTGGCAGTCAGCTGCATCAAATCAAACGCCTTCCCAAGTTTGGAAACACGCAAACGGGCTAACGGAGTATCAAGTCTGGACATGCTATCGTATCGCGACAAAGCAGCTAAATCTATACCATGCCGGTCGCACGCTGGACAACAGTTGTCGTACGGTGCTGCACTGCCGAGGACGCAAAGAGACAGCGGCGCACATTTTCTGGGAGTGCCCAATCGCGCAAGCGTGTTGGTGTCACTTGATAGGACACTGGACCGGTGGGGGTGCGACGAACGCAGTTCTTTCCACCTTCTTTCAGCACTGCGCCAATCGCACAGCCCCGCCCATTCCACGTCAGCTGAGTTTGCGGTTGCAAAGCCGTTTTCAAGATGACTCTGACGCCGCAGCAACAGAATTCGAACGGATCTGGTTCATATTAAGCTCCATCTGCCAAGAACATTTGTGGACCGAGCGGAACTCGGCGGTCTTTAGAGGAGCCGTGACTACTCCATCCGCAAGTGTCCAAATGTACTGGACACGCGGTGTTCGCCAGCTACGGGCAATTGCAATACGCGAGCATCGAGCCGCGGCTACGGCCGTACGAGGGGCCCGACTTCATGCCTGTCTTGAACTTCTGATTCAAGAGCCCCGTGGACACCCGCCCTACGCGGGTGTCAGCCACGATCCGCTGCCGCGACCGGCGCTCATATCCTGGCTCAGGATTTATCAGACCTCTTGTCCACATTAAATATGTCAATAGATGATCATGAAACTCCTCCTCCACCCCCAAGCGGGCATGCGCTTGCACAGATCCTGCAGCACAGACGGGCTTCCACGACTTTGTCACACGGGCATTTGGATTCGACCTCGAGCGAAAGTTCGGCAGCGTCTATCTATGGGTTGAGGGGGGGGGCGTCTTGGCGCAATTGCTTCGACGCACAGCCCGCGACGCACTGATCCAATGCGCTCGTGCTCACTAATTCGAATGGTACGACGTCCGTACTGGGTGTCACCCACGACATTCCGCGCGAGAGATTCAGTCATGTGCTTGGTACTGGAGAGGTAGAGAGAGAGAGGAAGAGCACATGTCGCTCGAAAGTTATGAGCCGGACCCAACTTCGTTTGAGCTCGTCATGAAGATTGACCGACGACAGCTTTTGCATCAATGAAACACTTGGCGCTGTGTCGCACCTGGTCGAACGCTGACGTGCACGAATCTATGCATCGGTCAGCCTGTCTGTCGCAGGGCACACCGGCTACGCGAGCGGGAAAAGTGCATCGCAAACGCTAAACGTGTCGCGCGTGTCACGCACGTGAGGCCCTCTTCAGCAGCTGCCCTGCATCTCAAGATGGGGATGGCCCTGTCCACTGAGCCCTTCCGCCAGCGATTCGACGCCGTCCCATCTCGTTTGTGTCCTGCGCGAGCACGTCGCACCTGCTGCTCCTGCAGCGACTTTGCCCGTGGGCTCGAACGTCTGCATCGATCGTCTGTAGTCGTCATTCCGGAATTCACCTCCTTCACCGTAAGCGCACCTTCGGCGTCACCACCACCACCGCCACCCCCCACGGGCCCTCCTTTGTCACCACAACAGTATGGTCCATTCGTTCCTGCTCAAGACCGCGGCCCTGGTGTCGTCGACGATGCTGGCGTCGACGCTGTGTGCATCATCGCCCGGCGCTGCCAACGAGCTGGTTACAGTCATGCATCCGAGTGGCGCGACCGCGAAGGTGTCCCTCCTGGGTGCGCAAGTGCTATCGTACACCACGACCTCTCAACCCGACGTGAACGTCCTGTTTGTGAGCCAGTCGCCGACTAACGGGGCGAACCCCGTTCGTGGCGGTATCTCTGTCAACTTCCCGATCGTGGAGTCCGTCGACAGCTTCACTGGCCCCGAGCATGGGTTTGCCCGTACTTCTATGTGGACCCTCGAGAGTTTGGAGCAGCCGCGGCCGGATCATGGTGTCGATTATACTTCTGCGACCTTCATCTTGACTTGGACCGAGGCCACCTTTCAGATCTGGCCTGAAAAGTTCGAGCTACGGTACAAGGTGAATGTGTCCGCTGATCGGCTCCTCACCAAACTGACCGTGTCTAACCTAGGCTCGGCGGCATTTTACGTGGGCGTACTGCTGACGAGCTACTTGAGCGTCCCTGACGTCCTGAACGATGGTGTCGTAGTTCGGGGCTTGCAGGGCCTTGAATACTACGACCGGGTCACACGGACGAACCAGACCGACTCGCGCGAGATGTTCGGCATCACGTCACAGGTCGACAGCGCGTACAAGGACGTCGGGCTCGATGTGGTTGCGTCCGTCAAAGGTGTTGGGTTCGTCCAAGACGTCGCTGTCAGGCAATTCGCACAATACGGGAACGGCAACCACCGACCGATTTCTGATCCATCGTCGTGCGTCGTGTGGAACCCCTGGACGGAAGGTGCAAAGGCTGGCCTCGGTGTCGAGGAATACCGTAAGATGCTCGCGATCGGGTGTGGAAAGGTGACTGAAAAGTTTGTGCAGAGCACTGATGTGCGCTACACTGTGTCCTCTGAAATCACGGTCACGACGCGCTCTGCTTAGACTGTGAAGTAGAGTGGTCGCGTGTGATGCGACATGGTGGACCGTCCCGTAGCTGCTGAGCTCGGGCACTTGAGCACGCAAGAGTAAAAACTGGAGAGTAAAATCTTGTGTGACACTTGCCTTTTCGTACTCAATGCCGTCGCTCTGTGTGTGGGGAATGCCACTTGATCTTGCGGTCCTTGTACAGCTTCGATCAGGTCTTATACCCTTTGCTTCCCGACGCGACTTACGGTCGCTTCAACGTGTCGTCTACTTCTGTCACAGTAGACAAAGTATTGCTGTGATACTCAACTTCGTGACGCAAGTCCCCGTTCGTGCAAATGAGTGGCCGAGTGGTGTCGTCTCGTTCATCTGGAAACGAATAGCTTCATTCCATGAGTTTCTACGCTTTACTTCCAATTGAAGGTGAGGCATCTCGAGGCACGATGGCGACCGCAATATCCTGTTCAGAGACTTCTAGCTATCCGGCGTCCCTACCTCTGACCGTCTAGTATGCAATCGCACGCAGTGCAAGTCTTCTCGCTACCATTTAGCGGTTACCGCTGCCCACACGCAGGCAGTCCGCGAGCAGCGCGTATTCTGTCATATGTCCACACTGATCGAGATCGCTCACCAACGGCTGACTTCGGGGTGGACGTGCTCCTGATGTTATTAAGCTGTACCTCAGTCAGTCGGTGCGTGAACTTGAAGCGATCGCCTGGTACCCATTGCAACATTTGCAGCAAGGTCTGCTGCCTTGTTCACTTGCCGGCAAAGGCAAGCTCAGCTTACGACCGCGAATTCATCAGCTAGTGCCCACGCCTTTCGATCAAGTGAAGCAAAGTGCGTCTTGCCTGGTAAGCAGTACAATTGAGCGCTGTGATAACCGGTAGACTACCTTCAACAACATGCAGCGAACCAAATCCGCTAGTCTTCGCCTGCTGCGAGCCATGAACGAGTCCGTCATAATAGGCCATGGTGTGCGTCGACGTCGATAACCCAAGCGCCATGCTAGCCAGCCACACGATTCGAGCCGTATGTGTCGAAGCGTGAACTCGCACTGTCACAGATTCGACGCCTCCTGGTCCGGGATTGTTTTGATCCCTCCATCGAAGAATGGCAGAGATCAGGCTGTTGACGGATGCTGCATAGTTGGTAAGCGAAGTGGTTGCGACTCGTAATTTCACAGAAACTCCACGCTTTATCGGATGCGCTATAGCCGTATCAAAGCTGATTGCTTCGCGGTACGTCGACTAGATAGGACCTGCTCGTGAACGATGGACGGCTAGACACAGTAGCCATGAAACCGGGTGCAAATACTTTGCTCGAACTAGAAAATGATACAGATAGACAGTTGCTGTTGCTCAGTTTGCTAATGAGATGCAACTACCTGCTCGTCCAGAAAGTCAGCCTTCATTCGAGGCAAAAGCGGCACGAATCGGTCATGACGCTGCATTCCGTAATCGAGTGGATACTAGATTAGCAGCGATTGTAAATACCGACAACTGCTCATTGGCAGACCGTGTATCTCGTGACGCCGCAGTGTTGCGCAGTTTCCATGACGCCATCTTCGATGCTAGTCAACGATGTGAGCTGTGAGAGCTCTGTCGCTTTCGACAAAACAAAACCCTCCGGTCAATCGGACTGACCGAACGCAAGCGCAGTAGCCCAACACGCAATGAAGTCGATTGCCTTATTTAAAGATACAGCAAGTCCACGCGTTGGGCTTCGAGTCAATGAGCGATGGCCGAGCGAACGAGCTCCAGTCGGTCACGACATAGGCGTGATCGAATGGAGAGAGCTATGTATCTCGTTGCTTGGTCAATAGGCTTCGTCAAGCTATGCAAACAGGTGCATGTACAAGACCAAATATACCACGGTGATCGTGACACGACATCGGCGCGACAAAGCGCACGACTTGCAACGGTCCCGGGCCAGCTATAACAATCCGCATCACTACTAGTATTTGAAATGATTTCAAAAGTCGATGATGGACTCGATGCAGCATGTAATTATTCTGGCGTGCAATGGCAATGGAGCGTTGACGAGTCAAATTGTCGTGTAACGAGAGCATTTGGATATCAGAACATCGGTCCAGTTGCCACTGTGAAGGCACACGCGGCTTGTTATCAGGATCAAGGCGCAAGGCCATGCAAACTTATAAAGTCTGCGTGATGCGATTCGTTTGATCGTTTATCGACCCGAAGATGTTTCAATGATCTCCAAGTGCCACGGCGAGTCTGTCGAGTCGACACTACCTCTCTGGACCATTTGACGGACGACTTTGCTCGTGGATGTGGTCGGATACATTATCAAAATCGGCTGAGTAGATGGTATCCAACTTACAATGAGTCATCATTATATGGCACTTCGCCACATGAACCTTCGTCGTTTGACTGTAACGGTTTTTCCGCGCCAAGAGCACTCGAAGAGTCGCCTGGTGCTATGGGTGAAGCTACATAGCGCCTGCACGTTCTTACTGTGCAGATGCGACCTTCGGAGTCTTTACTGCACATACGCGCATTGTATTGATTCAACTTGTTTGGTAAGTTGTAGTAAACGAAGGAATGCTTGCACAAGCATTGAACAGTCTGAGCAACTCAGCAATATTTTTACTTAGGGATTCGATTTGGGAAGGGTGATGGGCTGGCGGACCCGATAATGTACACAAACCACATTCACATGTTCGAATGATAACCATCGTAGCTTAGATAATCCACGACTAGTACATGATGCGGTCATCTGCGCTCTACAATGCTTGTACGGTTTTATGAAGATCGATCTCGATTGTCGTTGGTGTAGGTTGTTTGAACGATCAGTATAGGCAGAACATTCCGCTGCAATGTTCCACACAAACAATAAGCTTCAAATAATTGTCTAGCCCCAAAAACATTGAAATTCTGTTGTTTTGACGGTCTCGGTATCTCAGAGGCTAAATGCTCCGGTTGGTCGTGCAATGAAATTCAGGTGATAGCTATAACGATGAAAATTATGTACAAAGATACTGCTTCTGACAGGTCATGAAGGTAAAGAGACTGTGCTAGACCTATAACAGGTAAGTTCCGACCTCACCCGATTGGCTGACAAGGGACAACTTGACAAATGCAACGAGGAGATGCAGTCGTTTTGTCGGATCATGAAGATGTCGTGACGTGCGGGACGACAATGAGACCAGCATTGAATGATGGGAGGACTAAACTTACGCCATGTGCAACTTGACCTAGTCGAGTTGCAGTGCCGGTGAAATGCATGTTGAAGTCCTGACAGCCGAGATCAACACTGATCACATATGTTGCTTTTACTTCTAGTATCGTTCGCACGAGTTCAACGATCCCGAATATCGACAATTTGCCGTTTATCACGGATAATGAAGCTACTTTTACACTGGCAAAGCTGTGGCCAAATGAGAGACCAAGTACCCCAGCTTTCAAACATGATACGTCATTAGATCGAGCTTTGCGAATTGACACGCTCAAGCGTGATTGTCAAATGCACAGTTGTCTCCGAGATGTGGCATGTTTGCGACGACGGCAATGTAATGCTATATGTAATCAATGATGAGATCTGTATTTTATATATCCAGTAGTAGACTTTGCTCAGCAACTATACAGTTGTTTCGCTGGGGTCGTGAGTAAGCCTCTGTGGTCTAGCTCAGGCAAAAATATAATTGGTCTAAAAAAATGTTTTTCGGTATTTAGACCGCGTTCGGTGCGACGACGATTCACCACTGAGTTCGTATTCAATCACGTCTGAGAACCATTGTACTATAGAGACGAATGACAACTAAACATTAGGCATTACAAAATTAAACCTCTCTCAGGATAGCAGATAATCATTGACAGCATTCCCTCGGTAACTGCAAAGATATCCAGCGGGCATTGTCATCTATCTTTACATACGTGCGCGTACCTTACTAAACCAAAGAGTGCAACAATACATTGACGTACTTATCAGAGTATTTGAGCCTTTTATTTATACATCTACTTCGATAGGCGCTCTAGATATGTATTGTCCAAAGATCTTTACTGACTTGCTGATCTAAAATCTCTGTGTTGTAAATTCTCTCCACATTCAAATAATTCTGCGTCCCGAATGAAGCCGTGTGTCTTCACACTAGCAATGTTATAAAATGCACCGCTCTTTGACAGATGCGTTTATTTTTTATCAAATCGAACTCTTATCGGAGGGCGGGGGCGCGCTCTTATATGACTATAAAGAGTCGGCTACACCAACAGATCGCACGTATTACCATTTTGTTCTTGCTAGTCTTTGCCTCACTTAAGGGCATACAATTTAGCTGACATCGAAGTTATGCATGAAACGGCTTCATTGATCGGGGCGATCGATATAATTGCCAATGGAACCCTGATATTGGATGTTTGTGTGCTTATGGCGGATACTGATGTTGCTTAGATTTAACGAAGGTCCGCATAGAAAGTGGCAGCCTGATTATTCGGTATCTTGTAAAACGTCCATGGAGTCTTTTGTATTAAAAAAATGATAGTTACAAGGTTCTTGAGGTCGCAAAAAATAAGAGGGATGGTGCGTCAATACATGATAGTACATTAAAAATTTAGACATAATCATGCTTTCGACTTCTTTTCATAAACGTAGTTGCAGTCGCGCATACTCGACATTGATACGACCGGGGACGTATGTAATACACATGGTTCACAAAGTAGAGCTTTTTTCGTTTTTGGTACCAATTTAAACTATCCACGTATCTAGTTGTTTCCTCCTTTAAAGTTTAAATATAAGAAATACCAAATAAGCACGAAAAGTAATGTAATGTCTAAGAATTAATTGTTAGTGTTCAAGCATGCACATTTTTTTAAATCACATACAGATATGCACATAGATAATGAAACATATACAGAAGTTGAAGCAATTTGATCGAGAGTGATAATCCTCGGGTGTATGGTGTTGCTAGATAAGCTCTAGTATGAGTCGGTCCCTTGATATCTCGTCATAATTATTGTTGAAATAAAAAAGTTCTTTGTTTTGGATCCCTTGTCGAAACACAATCACCACAATCACGGTCTATTACTGAGGTATTGACCATACCAAGAACATACAACAACATCTGTCAGGTGTTAAGCTGCATACTTGATATGGACCGAAGGGGCCGAGAGAACACAGGTAACAAGCCTTCTTTGCATGAATGCACGTAGCTTGTGAATTACAACATATGCTCTACCAAAAAAAATTCCGGATCAGCAACACCATCACTGCAAATCTTCGAAGCTTCATATGTGGCGACAGGGATACCTACTATCATTTCTAGCTGTACCAGAGCACGAAAAATTGACCGTGTCCATAAGAATCATCAATACGACCAATGAGCTGACTCTCTTCTTAATGCGTGGTTAGTTTATGTGGTCGTATTTTGTGTATGGCAATTACTTCCGTACGAAGCGTCAGACGCGAGTAGTGGATATGGTGCATTTTTTAAGCATACTATCGTTTTACCTTGGTAAAGACGTGTGTGCTCACCAGGGCCACCACTCAGACGTAAGAATAATGTAGTGTTGACTAAAGATGCCAAACACGGACCCAACATCGTAAAAATTTAGTCGGCGTCGACACAATTACAAGAATGTAAACATTTTACACACCCATTAGATGTGTCGTCCGAATGGGTACGCCCGTATCCAAGCGGATATCACCGGTTAAGCTGTTGACGAATCCAAATGCCTATCTCATCCTGTTTTTCTCTAAAAGGGCTTCACTTCTAGCGTGGTAGTCTTGATTGTCAGACACGTCACAAGCATCTACATGCCTCCATACACTAGCACCGATAGCGTCTTGTCATCTCAACCGTATAATGTCAATATTGTCACATTTGCTCATTCTTAGCCGTTGGCTGACTCAGCGTGTGTTTCGTGCACGTGGAAAAGTTGTAAAGTGCCCATTTGACACTGCTGTATCTCCATCTGAAGTCATTGAGGGCCGAGGCAACAGTTACTCATCAACAATATGTCAAATATTTAATTTTATGGGTGAATTGCCATCTAACGGACAAAAGATTGACGACATTGTCAGGATACGCATGAGGCTTTAACGCACCCTTCTACCTTCCAGGTTGCCGAATGATCAAAAAGAAAGCGCACGTTGTTTTTTCTGGTTGATCACGTTGAAAGTAATCATAGAAAGCATTTATGGAATGAATGAATAATACTTGGCACCTGACTATTCGACCGTAATACATAAATCCATGGCGTATTCCCAATCTTTCTACTTGTGGTGCGTTGTTTTACGTTAAACCTTTTGTGCATTGTACATTGACTTACCTTGTGCACTGTTTTCTATCTTATGGTACATCCCTTATCTCCTTTTCCCATTTAAATTATGACGCACGACTCAGTATTTGGTCTTTAAACAAATACCACGTGGTAAATTGCCTAATATTATGCCTCCATTTGCTTCAACTCGCAATGATCTTCACACGCTCCCAAACAGGTTGAATGATAAGACGCAAAACAGCACGCTCATCATATAAACCGACCTTATTCACTTTGCAAGCTGCAGCAAGCCGGTTGGTGTATATATATCAGAAGATTTGTTGAGCGGGAACTGACACTGGGACGTGCACAAATCAAGCCGGTCATCAAGAAGAATGAATATATTCGCTGGTGATGTGACAGCGGGATGAACCTGTTCGAATGCTGGTAGCCAAGATCACCAGAGGATAACACAGGTATATCGATAGTCGTGGGTTTTATATATGTCCCTCAAGTGCTTCGAAACGCATGGCGTAGCCAAAAGGGTTCGCGTGTACCGCATGATGACAACGGTCGACTCAATGATAACCGACTTGGGATAAAAATGAAGTCATACCTGCTTACAATGAAAGCAACAGAGCCACGTGGTAAAGGACTCGCTCATTCGTCGTCTAGTACCACCATCCACTATCAAATGTATTTGAGACGCGACTGAATGCGAATCGGACGACTAGGCGCAGACCAATTCACCGCCTCAAAATGAACTGATGTCTGCTTTCCCACTATTTTATCACCTGTCTCTTCTCTATGGTTTGACAACGACACCTCTCGTAATTGCTCCACTACTTGGCCTCAGGGAGAAAAAAGCAACGCTTAGTCGGCTGGCAGAAGTAGAACCATTACATGACTAAAAATTTAAACGCCAGCTCCGACTACGATGATTCGGTTATCTAAAGTAAACTTAAACAGCAACGTCGAGTCTAGGAAGTAGTCAACAGCGACTGTACACTCACCCGTCGTCGATCGAGCACTTATGTGAACAACTAAGTCGTCGAACGGTAGACTGGTCGAAACGTACCGTATGGAACGAGAGGCGCTTTGGGTCTTCTGCAACGCTTCGCGTTGTCATTGTAGTGTATGCCAAATGCAGAATCTTGCGTGGCAAGTGCAACTTTATACACAATCACATGCTAGGGGCACAGCGTATGACCTCATATTTCGTACTCAGTATAATGCGGCAGTGGTGCACACGACGCAGGTAGCTCTTGCCCCTCTTTTTGCGCCTCCACTATTCTGCGTTGTTTTGTTTTAAATAATTTTCGATATCTCCAGCGCGATTATGAACACGATTAATCGGCCTAAGTAAAAGCATTTTCTTGCTCCGACAAAAGGGTAGTACCATCCCAAACAATGGACTATTCTAAATGATCTGTTAAGTAAAGGAGCCCACCTCCACGAGCGCCTTAGGATCACGAAGTTGGTGGCACACGACTCATTTGCCTCCTCGCTGCGCACATCGCCGAGTATATAGCTAGTGGACATGCCCACGCCAAGCACCCGTTCCGATGCTGTCCAGCTCTGGGCGGCCGTTCGCGGCTTCTCAGATGCCCAGCTGCGTTGCGTCGAGACTTGTATCGACGAGTACTACTGTAGCGGTTGTAGCCATTCGCAATTGGTTTCGTCGTCTTCGTCAGTAGCAGCGTCCGAAGCCCCGCCGAGGACGACGATCAATAACTTCATTGAGCTACAACTTGACGACCGCGTGCAATCCGTGCACGTCGACGACTTTGTGCACGTGTTTCTGTCCTTCCTGCATGAACAGATCCGACTACATACAGATGCACGGATACAAGACAATGCAACGAAAGCGTCAGTGTCCGACGCAAAGTCTAACACAATTACATCTCAAGAGGATAGCAACACGGCCACATTTGACCCTCACAGCCAAACGTTCGAGGACGAGTTTCCGCAACTGACGCCGGTTCGAGTGGCACCTAAGCCGACCAAGCGCCGGATTACTACCACGTTGTTGACGTGCCAGGAGCCGACAATCGTAGCTCGTTCGGTGCCTGTGCCTATCGCGTTTCCACGCGTGGAAACATCGGAAAGCACAGCAAGGTCCTCAATATGGGCCAAGAGGTCGTTGCTAGAGAAACGCATGGCCACGTTAAGTTCAACAGCCGCGTTTTCGACTGAAGAGACAAAGCGGGTGGCGCAGAAGCCGCAAACGGCATGGGCAACAACGGTACCAGAAAGTGCGACAGCTGCACACGAAGCTGCAAATGCTATACCGAAGGCAGTGAGAACAACACAAGTTCGAAAGATGGAGAAGAACGCGAAGATTGTTCGAGATCCTGGCTGCTTGTCGCAAAAAAAGGCAAGAGCTGACACGCCGCAATGTCAGCTTGTTGAGGTGACGCAAATAAATTGCTCGCTGGAGCAAGCGACAACGAAGAAAAAGGCAACACTTGTGTCTACGAAGCAGACACAGCAAGTGACCTGTCAATCACCCACCGCTCAGCCAGCAGCAATTACGAACGCGAAAGCTGATGTCTTATTAAGTAACCTCGCGGTGAACACGCAGGCAGCCAAGTTGTACGGGTTTCTCATCAGACGGCGGTTTGTCAAGAAGACTTGTACCGAGCTGCAGACTCTCATTTGCTTGCTGTACCGGGCTGATTGCACAGCGTGTTACCGTAACAAATTACAGGAGCAGCAGGACGGTGAAAGCGCTTGGATGCCAGGATGCGTTGAACCGTCCGAGTTTTGTTGGCGAGTGTACTGTCTGGACTTTGCTGCGTTCGTGTTCCAAGAGATCGAAGGTGTGATAGTGCATTTGGGTGACGATTTACTCGCTCTTTTCAAACACAGCTTGTGTAGTGCAGAGCGAGCTCGCTCGAATAAGTTGCTGGAACGACTGGATCGAGCGTCCCGTCGACGTGAAGCGTTTCGTGTGGCAGAAAGTGCAAGAATTGGCTGCCGGTTGCCTGTGGAAATGAAGGCGAGTGCCGTGCACGACTTTACAATACCATTTAACGAAGAGATCGACTCCCGCTTGCATTACCGAACGCCAGCAGAATCACAGTTGTATACGAACCGCGAAAAAGTCCGGGATTTGTTTCTAAGTTTGCTGCGTCACTTTCAGCAAAACCAGCACAGTCTTGCCGGCATCAAAAATGCAGGGGTGGCAGTCGATACATCAGTAGCAGCAAGGAAGTTGTTGATCGAGTTATCACCTGAGAACAAGTGGTGGTTCGCTAAATTTTTTGTTCAGGAGCTTACTCAGGTCGGCTCAAATCCTTTTGGCGAGAGCGACAAGGATCTCTTACTCAAGATTATGGAGGATAAGCTTGTGGTAAAGAATCCCGATCGGCTGCGCAAGCTGCATCGACGTTTCTCCAGTCAAAAGATGTCGACAAAATCATTTCAATCGCAAATGCAAGATAGTCATAGGGCCTCAAACGTTTCGAGTCACAGAAATGTTTGTGCGAACGGAAAGGACAGCAACGACATGCGAAGGAGGAATCGGTCCGATGTTCGACCTGGCACGAACGAGGTTGAAGCAGACAAAAGCTCGACATCTGTGCTTTATAGTATGAGGCGCTTTTTTACGGACAACCAGCTATTCTTTTTCCACTTCCTGCATAGTTGTGACAGCTACGAGTTCTCGGAGCTTGTGAAACGCCAATTAGAGCGACAGTTTCACGTACATGGTGCTGCTAGTGCTGCTGTTGTAGATGCTCGAAAGGGCTTTACGGAAGCAGTGCTAAAACTCAAGGTCGTCGCAAAGTTTCTGGGGTATCTTCATTTTTCACCACAGTGGCAAGTAACGTCCTCAGTTTGTCAAGTTCCGGCACAAAGTACTGCCTTGAAAGCTATCGAAAGGGAGGGAATCGAAACTCTTGAGGTAAGTCGTGGCTCAAACTTTGATGTCAAGAAATTGCTGGAGAAAAGCATTTTGCAAGCATCAATCGCCAAGTGCATTCCATGGCTCTGTGACTACTTGTCTATGCTTTCGCTCGATCGGTTGTCGTTGGGGACGATATATTTTAAGCAGCTCGTGGTGTTGATGCGTCTTTTGTATCGGTCACCACTTGTTGACTCTTTAGGTGAGACTGGACTTTATATAGCACTGCAGATCGAGCGCGTCTTTCAAGTGTTGAAGGTGGACGACCATCGAGAGGACTTACGGTCTCTACAGCTGCTTCCGTCGAAACAAATGAGCAAGATACTCGCAAGTAGTGTCGGTCAAACCTTGTCGAAGAAGTCGGAGGGTGGTGCAGGGGAAGATTGCTTACCATTTTTGTACAGCCAGGTGTTTCTCCGAAGCTGTGTGAGTGAGCTTGACGACTTGCGTGGATTCATTCAGACTCAAGCACAAGAGCCGCAGCGACGCATAAAACAAGTAGGTAGCGTCGGACAATCGGCAGCAGGGCAGATGCATGCACCCATTCGCAAACTACGACCGTTGCAAGTCGTGATCGGAGACGATGATTCTGTCGACACAAATTTGTCTTTATTTTCTGACAAGCTTGCGGATGCTCACACTGAGTCTCAAACACGGATTCAGCAAACAGACGAGCACGACAAGTTGTCCGAAGCTCTTTTCAAGGTACATCCAAAGTTGAGAGCAGTGGTGGAGTTTGTAGTTGGAACGTCGGCGACAGATGTGTGTGAACACGTCATAGCGCATGTTGTCACACCTCTTGCTGATGCGCTCGTTGATTTGTGCGCTTCTGAAAGTAGCCTATTGAACGTCAAGAAAGATGTTGCTGCATCTGCGACGTTCGGTGAACATTCTGCTTTCGTAGTACGGGCTAGCTTCTATAAGCTGCTTATGTCAAAGACTCACCATGAAGCAAACTTGGTTGGCTCAACAGCTTTGCAAGAAGCTCTTCGTCTCGGGGAGGAACGTGTACATGGAGCGATTTCGGCTTGTATGCCCCCGTCTTCACATCCCACGCTGGTCAAGTCGATTGTCACCATAACGCTGCAGCGCACTCGATCCAGTTTGACAGAGGTGGTACCAAAAAACGCTCAGGCCGAATTCGTGAAGCGGGTAAGCTGGCGACATAAGACCCTCCTCAAAGACCTAGGACTTACTCCGAGAACGACAGACGCTAATCTTTCATTTTCTACACCCCCCGTACAACCATGCGCTAGTGCCAAGACCCAACGAAAAAAGGTGCTGCCCGAGGGGGTGCAGCAGTACCAAGAATTGAGGCGACACGTCGCTCTCATTTCCAAAAGCGCTAGCCACGACGGATCGAAGATGGCAAGTCTTCCCGAATATGAATCACGGGTCGTTGTGCTGTCTGTGAGCCTATCTCAGTTTCTCATCTTGCTCAACGATTGCGTTGGATATGGTGACTCAACAAGGGATCCAGGTCCTACAATGAGCATTTCGGCTCTCGTCATGTGGGATGTCATTTGGCGGAGTCTCACTTCTTGCTTGGCCTTCCTCGAGATGTCACTGACCGTGCTCGATGCTTGCAAACTGGCCTCGGCACGAGACGATCGAGCAGTGGTTGTCGAGAACAGTTTCGTCGATTTTGCTGCCAAGTTTGCACTGCTGCTCAAGGTGGTCGCGCGCTTTGCCAAGCAAAGTCCAAGGAGAGCTACCATCGCTTCTCGTTTACAGCCCATGCTTGCGTCTGTTACAGAAAGAGTGGAGCAACTACTGCGGAGCGATAAAGTGCTCAAACGTACCGCATTTCGGGCTCGCTTCGAGATTGCTGCACAGCTTCGCGAGGTCGTGTCATGTTTCACACACTAGGCGATCAAGACAACAGCAGAAAGCCACGATAGAACCTGAAACAGAAGACAGCTATGCAAAAGGCCACCGGCAATCGATGATGTCGTGTCGATGAGTTTGACTGGACGGGGAAGCAGCCGATCCATTGTTCGCAAAGAGCGAATTCGACAGTACGCGATACGATACGTGGATGTTGGCGACAATCTGAGCGTCTATGCCAAGTATGCGCAGGTTTCACAAAATGCCGAGGGCGATGCATCGGTCCGTAGTTGAAGAAAATGAAGGGAAAAGCGCATCAAGCTACGTTTATCAGCTGGAGGACTATGATCGTGTTTGCAGTGATCTGCGTTCGGAGTATGTTTATTGTGGTCAATTTGGTTATCCTGTCTCCATTTAACAGCATAGTAACCATTTTGTATTGAGTCTTTGCGATGCAGCATGTGATCATGTGTTCACCTGTTCGGTTGTATCGTTCGTTGCGTGGTACCGCCGTCGACTCACAATTGTCAACAAGCCAAATGTTTTGGCGACGGCAAACAAACGAGGTGCAGTGACAACGGCCCACGGCTCGATTGTATGCAGCTTCGTGGAATGAGTTGACAAGACTTCGCGCGGACATGGAAAACGCAAGATGTACTATTTTGCGCTTACTCGCCCAAAGATGGTTGTTTCCCGCTTGACTCTGTGCTGTGTTTTTTGGCGCCAGAACAAACTTATGCATTCCCGTTACTCTTGACATTAGTACGTCGCTATTCCGTGAAATAATCTATAACTATCTCTAGAAAGTAGAACGTACCTGATCACGATGTAACAGCAATAGATCGAGCATCAGGTACATAGAATACTGCGAGCATGTGCCTAGCACAGAAATCACTGGCAATGTCTTGTATGAAAAAAATCAGTGATACGTCACTAACACCTTTACAGCCGACATTAGCTCAAGTCTATCCGTCGACATGGAATTGATGTCGTGCAATGCCGTGAGCTGCAAGACAGGCAGACTAATCCTCTTACATAAATCGGTGACAACCGATACTGCCAAGTGACCGTCGTCGTTGATGCGACACCATTTGTGTGACTGACCGGTGCGTAAATATGAAAAAAAATCCTAGACCACCCAAGACGCGCGATCCAGCCTTGACATGAACTAGGTATCGTGACAGCTGGTGTGCCAAAGCGCGATCGCCCGACTTCGCGATATCGAGGTGCCAAGTACGCAGTATACTAACATATCTGAAGGGCTAGAAGACATGGCAGTAGCAGGATTGCAGAGGTTTCTTAACTATGCTAAGTCACACGTGCTTCACACCGTTTGCAACTTTGATTGAAAGCTTTAATGCTGCGAATAATATGCATACTACTGCAACACACCGACACAAGTGAGTCATGTGCCTTGTTGTTTTGAGCTTCGTGCATCCTTGAGTGGCAGCGCGATCTTTTGCGTAAACTAAAATCACCTATACAAGCATACACGAACGTTTGGGCTACGACGGCGCATGACAACCTTTGCTCTCAGTGGAAACTTGAGCATTCACATCTGTAGCGGAATGATCGGACACGCTGACGTTGATCGATCTCGAATCATGGCAAGTCGTAAGAGGTGGCGCTTCTGTCATTGTGAGAAGCTACTTGGCGTAGGACGACGAGAGCTTAGGGACATTAAGTGTCGGTGTCAAAATACGGATATATTGGAATTGCGTTCGTGAACGAACTAGAAGGTCCTAAATTGAGTTTGTTTTGATGACTGACCTTCGTCATTTTTGACAAAACACTTGACGATACTTACAAAAGATGTGAGTGAGCATCAATCATTGTCGTGTCCTCCGACCAGAGTCTAGGTGAGTGGCAAACAAAGATCAATGACTTTCGTGATCGACTTTGCCTCCAAATACAAAGGCACAAGGGCGACGTGTTGAACACGGCTATTCGTGACCGTGACATATTGTTCATCAATCGCACGGCATTTTGATCATCATGCGTGCATTTCCCTTTCCATCACGCGTGCTTAGTGTCTCAGCACAGCAAACGTTGAGGCCTGACTCAATGAGCGATATCACGCGCGGTGGTATTTGGACAGCTCCCCTAAACGGCAATCTCGTCTTGCAGCTGTGAAGTGACACGGTTGTTTTGTGGCTGCTGCATGCTTCTGTCATCCAGGATCTGGCAGTATGCAGCTTTTGCGACGATGCTTGTCGAGGAGTGCAAGCTCATATGTCTGCTTGTCAATATCGTCGAAAGCACCTATACGTGACTCATCAAACTGCCATCTTCGATTATACTCCAAAATGGAACCGTTGGTAGACTTCGCTGCGAGGCATCGTCTAACTATATGGAAGCGTACTACAGAATACTCATTCATCAAATTGCGTTTTGTTGAGTGTACTCGACATGCATCGCTGAGGTGATCTAAGAATAGCCGGTGTAGCAGAAAAAAAGCAGGCGTATACAGCAGCGTGAAGCCATCGATGACGCTGCGTTAAATCTGTCGACGTACCCGCTCACGCTTTCGTCATGACATGAGTCTGGCAGTGATCGCCAGCCTTTGTTTGTGAACCTGCTCAGTGGATGTGCGACATTGTTCACCTAGGCAGACACACAGTCGTGTAAAACGATCTGTATCAACGATCCGTAGCGCGTTCACGAGCCAAACAAACTGTGACAGTGTTCGGGGTGTCAGCGGGTTTCGTTTCGCGATAGCCCAGATGATACAAAATTGTTGCAAACACTTAAGCCGGGCTGACTTGTGAGCAGAGTTGAGAGAGGCTTATAACGCTGGCACGGTCAGGCAATCAATGCGGAATCTCGACCGAGTGGTTGCGTTGATGCTTATATAGAGAGGTACCAGCCAGACCTCGAAGACGTGTCTATAGCTCGAAAAAACTTCGAATGCTTGCACTAGGAACATGAAAAGTAAAAGGGTATTGCCATGGCTGAACGTGGCCATACAAGCAGCAAGTGTCATTTGACCGCTAGCTTTTGACTTGACGAATACGACTCTGACTTTCCGAAGAGAGCTAGGGTACATGAGTGGTGACGGCGTATGATGCAGCCTGAGTGCAGCAAGATTAGGTGGGCTCTCAATTTATACGAAGCTATCGTGGTCTCAAGCTACCTCTCCTCCACCATTAGAGCATGGTATATCACACAAGCCGCAGTATTGGTGCGCGAACGGTCTCACACAGCAATTTCACAAGGCGATTGTCGATTGCACGTGAAGAATACTGTATGAGCAATGCCTCGTTTTGGAAAAGGAAGCTCACTTTTCTATCCAACTGCCCGGACTCGACAAGAGAGACCGGGAGTGACCTGTGACCTTAAGTATTGTGCGACCTACTGATTGATGAGTAATGAGCGATGGGGTCGGCAGGAGTCATGGCGGTTAAAAGGTTTTATTCATGGAAGCGTTCAACCTCGTGCTACAAGCACGTTGCTTATGTTATATGTATGTACAAGAGATAAACAATGAATATCACTTTGCCATTTGCTGCGTGTTAAGTACTTCCTCGTGATCATGGCCATGGTGTGCTACCTACAGAAGCGCTAAAGGTGTTATAATGAACTTCCTGAAAATTGTGGAAGCCCGATGCATCGATACTTTCGAAGAGATCGTGGGGCTCACTTGCGCTTTTCGTGTCCCTAGTGAGTCGAAAAGCGAACGTCTTTACATCATTCCTACTATTGCAATCATCCTGATGGGGTAATGGAATGCGCGACGCCCTATTATCATATCCCCAAAGTGAAGACTTGTTCGATGAGGATGCCGCCGGATTATTCTGAGTCATATTGGCGGACTAGACCTTTGTCTGGATACTAGAGCTACTCAGGTCGCTTCTCACGTCCTTTTAGGCTTTGAGATGCTCTGACGGAACACGGTGGCTTGATGTAGCTGCGACAAGCGATAGGCGCGCATGTAAATCGAGATCACTGGGTAAAATATGATCAGCAACTTCTGGTTTTTGCTTTACCTGAGTTCGATGAGGTAGAAGCAGCTGTATAAGGCATAGCTGAGAGAAATGCACAGCAATGTGTTGATTGTGAAATTGATTGTAGCAAGATTTTGACAAGTCCATGCCCGCCTCTGCACGAAGGCTAGACGACCGTCGGCGACACTTCGTTTTTAATTTCCAACATATGACGCTACGCGGCCACGTTTTACACCGGTGGCTGAGTCGAACCCCATGTGTGGGATTAGCTTCAGTTTCACCGAAGACAGCTTCGTGCCGCCGCTATGTGACATTCACCATGCAACATTCGCGCTATTCCCGGCGGTCTGTCGACGATTTACCGACTCAAGTTCTCGGAAGGTCATGACGAAAAGAACAAAGGATGACCTATGAACCTACTGCCGTCGACTCCTTCGCAGCGTCAATGAACAAACAGTACGGTGTGGTGCTCTAGCAGCTGACTCCGGACCAAAAGATGAGTATCCACTACTATGGGACGGTTGCGTAAAACCAAGCCGTAGCAACTCACTTTGATCAAGGACGTCCGCATTGAAGACACGTCAATACCCAAATCCATAGCATTGTTTCCACACAATTGTCTAATGATCACTTGATAACTGTGCAGCGCTTGTGACATCGTTCTCAAGAAGAACAAAGTAGCAAACTTGGCCGGCGGAGAACAAAATTATGTCTTCGCGTCGTCAAACGTCGACTTTCTTAGCAGCAGGTGCATCCGTCAACGTGTAGCTACTGTTTTCTAAAACTTGTCGGATCAGTTAGTCTCCTCCGACTTGTGGTCAAGCCACAAGCTTTTCACGGTGGATATTCCTGTTTCACAAAAGATCTACAATAAGTGAAGTGGTACATTTGACTACAAAAGCATCGGACTTTCCAATTACCAAGATATACCTACTTCCACCAGAACAATCGGGAAGCTAGGGTAACGTTTATCGATGCTAGTACGAGCTACTGTATTTTCTGATAAGGCCCACAAGAAGTTGGAGAAGAAATGGCGATCTGCAATATTGAGATGCATGCCAGTATAATGCTCGCGTGGCTTCTGCTTCAGCGGCAACGACAGCGAAAAGTAGATGTGCACGAACGATCTCCTCATTGTTGGTACGATGGCCTTCTAACGTGGAGGTAGCGCAGAATGTGGATCCAAATTTCTTTACAACCGACTGGGAGTCCAATCACGCAGGGTAGATTTTGCTCATGAGTGATCACACAGCAGAGACGCCCATGCCATTCGCACCCGATATTGTCTGAGGAATAGAGAAGGAAACGGAGACTGTGGACGTCTCGTGTTATCGAGATGGAGTGGAAAGCATGCTTAGCTTTTACAGACGCCATATCAGATTGAATCGTCTCGTGCGAGAGTGACAGGATTGACCAGAAGACAATGATATCCGCTGGGTTCAATTTCGCGTTGGCATAAACGGATGCAGCAACGATTTGTCTACCGAGTCTCGTGGCCCTGTTGTGTCATAATCCTCACCATACAGTAGCTCGTGAAGTCCACAGCCTCACAAAAGTCGGGGGGGGGGTACATTAAGATGGCAACTGATATCGTACAGAGCGACATACCTGGAGTCGAATTGGGCAGAACGACGTACGTTTACGCGTGAATACGAACGATCTGGCTTGCCGCTTTCGATGGATGTGATAGCATAATCACCGACTCTTTCGCATGCAGCATAGATGGGCTCCCGTAGCTTACTGGGACATAAAAGTGATTTTGTGCATTTGTAGCCGCTGGCCACAGCCGATAAGAGTGTAAACTCGCTATAAATCTGCCCAGCATACTTGATGGTTACTTAGCTGCTTAGGAACAGCTGCTGTAGTTGCAAAAGGAGTTGATAGTGTCGTTGCACCCGACGATGGCTTGCTTTTTGCACTTGACACAGCTCGCTTCAGTGCGCACTCGAAGCCATCGTATCCCATTGCGACGACTAAGAATGATGACGACGATTGCCTCAGTAGCACTTTTCTCTAGCACTCTCGTCATGCCAATGGGAACTGGTGGTCGATTTGCACTGGTCTACGAAAAAACGGCGCTCTTTTTCGGCTACCTTATACGAATCGGTAGTTGGCTCGAAAGACAGGCCCCGCCTTTGCAAAGTGGTCGCTGCGCAATGAAAGGTAGTGTAGTACGTATGTACCGACACGGTTCGCGCGAAGCTATCGTTTATACTTCGTCAGAGTGACTTATAGAGATCACAAAGACATGGCCGCACACCCCGATGTGAAAGAACATTCAAACTGACCAATGCAAATGACAATGCATCGGTAATTGCATTTTGTCGTTTACGCAATACAGTAGCAGTTGCAACAGTAGTAACTCTACTGGTAGCAGAATTAGTAGGACCACTAATGGTATAGGCGTATTGGTAGTTGTTGTTGTCGTGGTAGTCGTAGCAAAAGTATAAGCAGATGCAATTGCGATTCTGCTACACTGGCAGCAAAATAAAAGTAGTAATACAGAGGGAGCACATTATAAGGGATGATACTAGTTGTAGTAGCACTAGTACGAACAGAAGTATAATAGCTGTTGTGATAGTAGTACTGTAGTAGTAGTAGTAGTAGTAGTAGTAGTAGTAGTAGTAGTAGTAGTAGTAGTAGTAGTAGTAGTAGTAGTAGTAGTAGTAGTAGTAGTAGTAGTAGTAGTAGTAGTAGTAGTAGTAGTAGTAGTAGTAGTAGTAGTAGTAGTAGTAGTAGCAGTAGCAGTTAGTAGTACAGGTAATTGTAGTAGTAGACGATCTGTTTATAGAACTTATTGTGACATCATTAACAAATACTCTTACTGCACCACTATAGTAATAGTTGTAGTGTAGTATTCTAGTTGCGAAGTATGCGCAGAGAAATTGCAATATTAGCAACGCCAGCAAATCAATGTTTTTGCAGCAAGTCTACAGAAGCGCATAGCCCCGAGTATGCGGATGAGGTGATTATTACAGCGGGACGGTATACTTCAATGGTCTTACAATTGACCGGCCAAACTATGGCTGGCATATACGATCAAGTTAAGGTGAGCTCGCAAAAGACTCGATTCAGCCGGCCACGCTTTGTTACAAGCTATTCCAAGTAATGCACATGTCTATTTTTCTTGCGCTTCTTGGTCCCAACTGCGGATTGTCCCAGGTATGGTGCACCTTCGTGCCACGTGAGCAACAAATAGATTTAATGTTGGGCTACTTACTGCGTCACAAGTTTGTATTGACCACTTCAGGCAGCTGTACCCAACACAAGCTTTTGGCTTCCTGTAAATCTGTACGTTTCAATTTATTTCATCCTGTGATAAGGTGTCCTCGTGCACCTGCAAAAAGGAGCTCGCCAATGGCCGTATGAGTAGTCAAAGTGTCCATGTAGCCAACAATCACTTGTGATTTACTTGTGAATGTGAACCAACTGATAAAAAAACTCGTTTCTGCAAAACAGCAAACCGTCGAACGGATACATCCGACGTAAACCCAAGACAATCTTCATATTCCGCGAAGCTAAGACTGCGTGACTTCGAGGCAAAAAAGAGCAGCGAGTCATTGGCAATAGTCTATCGGCGTGGAGCAATGGCCGCAGCTTTGCCGCCATTGCCAGCTGGCCCAGCAGCAAGGCCCATGTCGTGCAAAAACTTTTCCATGCGCGCAGCCTCCTTAGCCTAGCAAAAACGTTCGGCAGTACAGCATTCCCGACTCAGCTTACGACGTAAAATAACGAACCCGTAAGGAAGCTCAAGCATCGTACCTTCAAATCAGCAACTTTTGTCGCTTGCTCCTTCTGCTTTCGACATCGAGCTGCATCACGGCGAGCCAAGTGTCGTTTAAGCTCGTCGTCGCCACCTCCGCTTACGCCCATCAGAAATCCTTCATCTAGATCGAGACCATCTCGTGTGGCTTCTCGGTCTCTTGCTGCCCCGTGCAATTTTGCCCCAACTTGACGGCGTTTCATGAGCTGAGCTTCTCTTCCTGTAGCCTTTGGCGCCAGCTCATCCACGATTGTGTTGCAGTACTCCTTCTCTCTTTGACGCTCTATTTTTCGCCGCTTTCTGCTGTCGTCCCTATCCTCTGGAATAACCTCAATCATTCGACGATCGCCCCCGCCTTGATTTGTATTTTGCTCTTCCATTGGTTCGCGCTTTTGACCAGAAGGAAGCAACAAATCCGCTTTTTTAGTTGCCACATCCACCGAATCCTTGGCCGTCGCCACTTCAAACTTCTCCTTGTCACTAAGTTTCGCCACAAAGTTCCAGCAATGACGAGTCCGCTTCGTCTGCTCTACCACACTTTCGGACAACCCCTCGTAAAACATCGTGGCCAGCTGCCCTCGGTTCCATTTTTTTGCAAATTTAGTACAAAACAACTGCGTGGCTTGCGCTGTCGACAAATCATCGACATATTTGCCTCTATTCAGCACAAAAAACACGGCAAGCAGATGAGTATACAAAGAACAATTAGCCGCAACCAATTGAGCGAGAACTCAGCGGCAAAGTATCTTAAGAAACCATTTCGCACGCACTTTGTTTGTGTCAGCCACACTCGGAACTCCGTCTGCCGCAAAAAATAGTCCTCTTCTGTAATGGCTTTTGCGCCATTACATATTTTTGTGTCGTGTTTTGCGTGGCGTTGGGGACGTGACACGCGTCCGTTTTCCGACCTGCGGCTCGGCTTGTACCGACTTGAAGACGAAGATTTCATGTGCTTCTTGTGATGCTTGGAACCCATCTTTCCCGCACAGGAAAGTTTAACGAGGAACGGGTTGGCTTGTTAGGGAAGAGATACCTAGTCAGCGCTGTGACTTGTCCGTGTAGCAGCTGGTGGCTCGAGGCTACGATATGTGCCCTTAATGTCGCTGCGTGAGAGCGTACAAATAGAGTAATCCTGATTAGGCGACGAACGCACAAATGCAGGGCCAGTTTTACGCTCGTGGTGCAATATCGGACCAATGGAGGCCAAATTGGTGTTTCTGTCTTTTGTACAGAGCTATTTTTGTGACTTTAAGTCGTGCAGTTTTTACCTGTCACAAAAGCGGAGATATGAATGTCAAGATTATTCACCTGACAGTGCAAAAAAAAGGAATCAAATTCAACTAACAAACCTGAAGGTAGCCAAATGATGCCATAGGCTACCCATTTGTGCCAGTCGATCGCACGGACCAACTGGCCCAGATCCCAGCATTTTACGACGCGGCGGATTACTATTGCGCGACGGTGTACTGTTTTGTGCGCACACATCTCCAGTTTTGTGATTGAGACTTAGGAACAAACCAGTTTAAAGCGCTTATATGCAGTGGCTGCCATGACGTCATTGCATTAGTGCACATCTCTTCGTCAACAGCTGTCCCCATTTATAGTCAGGGTCCAATCACCTGGGCCGACTGTCAGGGACCAGAGACTTATTTGTACATGCAGCGATAGAGCGGGCTTTCTGTTGTTTCTGCAAGTGTTTCTATCGTGCTTCAACGATTGCATTGTTGCTGACCTGACGAATTGTGGGCTAGTCGGTCATCACTACGACCAGGAACGAAAAAACTTGGCGGTGACCAGTTGAAGCGCAAACCCGCGTCCCCGTTGCGTGTTATGTATAGGCTCTGCCGTATGTTCGTACGCACGCGTACATGTACGCCTACCCATCCTCATGTAGTCCTCATACTATCTTTCATCGTACGGGTCGAGAGAGATCGCACCGAAAAAACACTTAACGAAAGCAATAGTGGTGAGCTTTCAATCAGTGGCCAGAAAAACAGCAGCATAAAGGCGCATGTGAGTGCGTTTGTTCAGCTTGCGAGTCGGTCGGATCCACATGAGACCGCACCTCGACCACAGTGGCATCACACGTTCCATCGCCGATTCACGCAGTCTCTGCCGAGCGAAGGCTACATTGTTAGCCTCAATAGACGGGCTTGTTCGCGCAATGATGGCAATCAATGAGGCTGCAGAGAGCTCATAAATGCCAGAATTGATCAAGTTTATTAAACACCGAGCCATGACCGTATCAGCTCACCGCTTGCGCAAGATGGCACTGTGCCGCATATACACTGATCTATCTATCGCAAATGGTGGCTACCTCGTTTCAACTGTCGCTTCTGAATAGCTTTGCAGGCTGTATAAATTCTATCGAGAGTCAGCTGTGTAAAGAACTGGCAAGCAGTAGCTGCAGCAGAAGTCTACATGACGTCGCGATGGAACATATCACGCGGGATCAGTGGACAGACCGATGTGAAAAATGCTTGTTCACCGGAGTAGCTTCACCCTTACTCACGAGCGGCCGTTGTTTGTTAACGGCCCTGATCGCCTGCCATGACGCGGCCTTGCTCCGCCTACTCCTGCAATTGGCGCGCTGGATTCGCCATATTCCACTAGAGGCGCGCCCAGAAGGACACGCAAGTGTTAGGCCGTCGGCCACGTTCGAAACCACGGGCGTTGATCTCAACGGAGTCACTCTGGCCCCTGGAAGTACATTCTGTGGTACATGCGCTGCGCGCAGCAAATCGTCGGTGGCTTTTATGGAGCAGACCATGAACAGCGCGAGTTACTGGGTGCAGAATGCGTTTGGTGTTAGAACGTAGGCGCACTTGCGCAGAAGTAGGATTTAGTAGTAGGTTATTATATAAGTTAGTATTACATTCCGGAGACCCTACTGAATGAAGGACTTCTCGTCTGCGGCCATTCGGCTATGCCCCACGCTTTTCACATGGTCTTTTCCCTCCTTTTTTGAGCCGGTCGGCAAACACACGATCAGCAACAGTGGAGCACGCAGACAAACTGTGCATTGATGCATCAGTACCTGCCCATGATCGTGCGTCAAGCCTCTCGCGCGGAGGCATACCTTTAGCATCGACCATGGCGGCGAGCACAATTTTGGCCTTGCTTGGCATAAGTGCGTGCTAACCGTTTCTTAAACCTTACGAACAAGCACGTCAAAGTATGTCCGTGAGCCACGCACTGCTTGGCCTTTCAATTTTGTAGCGAAGGACCGACCGCCGGTCGCCGCAGGATTATTACCTTTGAGGTGCGCACATCGCAAAAGCATGGTCAAATTTTCGCCGTCCGATCGCTCCGGATTCTTTCATACCATGTGGCATTCGTCGAATGAAGCTGCACAGCGTTGTAATGCGCAATTTTCTTCACGCCACACAAGGACGAGAAACTACCGTGCGCTTTCCTGATGTCCTCCACTTTAGTGCACTTGCGCTATGTGCCACTTCGAACGCTGACGTGCACCCACGCGACATCAAAACGAACCTGTCGGTGTCCAGTCATAAAGATTCTGCCCAGCCTTCCGAAGCGCGTTCGGATCAAAGCCCACGGACTGGCGATTCTGTGAATGAAGGAGACGGCGAGGTGAGATGTAAGGGGTTACACAACCGGTGTGTGTGTAATGGGTTACATAACATGTGTGGCACACAAAGGACGGAGCCGCATTGAAAATGATAATCGAACACCTTATCAAGTGTCAGGGGCTGACGTTTGCCAGCCACCGAATTAGGGGATCTTTAAGGGGTATTAATTAGAACAGTAGTGACTAGGTTAAGTACGTTGTTCTGAGGTGTTCTTATATATCAACAGAAATAAAGTATACTTCCCAGGTTGGTCAAAATAAGAAACGTGCCTCACAAAGCGTCTTGATCGGAAGAGCTAGCAACGCTTGTAAAGGTTGATGCTCTTGAGCACTCTGTGCTGTAATTCTTTTGAATCGTTTGGTCCCCCTGGAACATCGACTCTCTAAGCTTGTAGACTCTTGAATCGGAATCTCTGAACCAAAGTTGCCCGTAGAGCATTAAGTCTTCCTCTGACCTAACGAGCTATGTAGCTTTGCTACAAGAGAGGCTCGGACCGCAAACGTGTAATTGATTTCCATCCACTCCGTCAACTTTATTAGCGTAGCGGCTTACTCGACGATTTAGATGTCTGGCTTCGCTATGAGAAGCCGCCCGGTCGCGAGTTTAAAACGCATGAGCACAATAAGGCGTCTGAGCAGCTTCTCGACCACCCGGAACATAGCGCTTGGCCTGCGCACGAGGAAAGCTTCGATAAATTTGACTACGGGGCAGCAGTGCTGTTTACGCCGAGAAACTATTTTTGGAAGATAAGCTGATCGACAAGCTCGTAGAAGCTGAGAAGACCACCGCATCGAACATCATTTTCTCGAAACTGTATGTGGAATGGCTGTCATCCAGTAAAAGTACAGAAGACGTCTTGATGATTCATGGGGTGAATAGGGCGGAGCGCGACGATTGGAACATGCCGCGTTCGCCAGATGGCTCACCTTCCTTGATCGGTACAGCACAGTGCTCAGACAGAGCGAATGAGGCACAATGAAGATGTTGAAAAAATGCCTCGGCACCCCAAGACTGCCATACCTTCTTGCGAAAGGCAAAACCAAGAGAGATAAAAAGATGATGGCCATGTTACCGCGTCTTTAGGTAGCAGAACACAAGATACCGGACGAAATGTACGAAGAGCTTTTATTGTCCTGGCAAGATTACAATATATTGGCTTGTTTGGAGCTCAAGACTTGGTCAAAGTTTATCAATCTTTTCAACAAGGCGAACTTAGAACAAGCGACGAGCGTGATCAAGGTGATGTTTGAGAATTTTGGCGACAAAAAGGCGGCAGACATATGCATCGCATTATCGGAGGTGTCTGGAAACGAACCGGTTTCACGAGAATTGGTAGCAACGCAGATCTCAATATGGCATAATGACAACAAACCATCACAGTTTGATTTTAAAATGCTGCAACTCGAAGAGAATGAAAAGTCATAAGAAACCCGCGATTCAGTCTCCGGGCCAAGTACTTAGACGCTGGTACGCGTAGGGAATCGTATATTGCGGTACTTAGCCTGTACTACACTAACAACGGACTTACAGCGATGGTAGTCTAATCCGAAACGATCAAGGGCGCAGAAGTGATAGCTGAAAGGGTGAAAGTGGAGCTATTTTGGCAATGGGCAAGGAATCCGAGAAGGTGTAGGCACGACGCTGTCAAAAAAGCGCTGCCACCAAAAAAGGCGCCCAAACTAGTTGAGAAATCTTATCTTTATGACATCTGCATGGTTTTCATGGATCATGTCCCAAAGATAAGGAGCCATCGAAAGGATAAATTAAGGACTCTGTCAAAGGAGGTATCTAAAATCGTGAAAAGACTAAAAAAGCCGGAGGTAAGGTAGCAGCTGCTACGAGAAAGTTCTGGGTATCTGCAAATAATGCAGACTCTATCAGACACAGCGAGGGTCTGGGAAAATACAACGAAAAGAACCTGAACCTTCTTATAGCGTAAAAAAGATAATAACTGCTCCGTGAAGATCCTGGTTTTTTCTCATAGCTGAGGATAGAAGATTGGACATTACGAAAATCCTGATACTATTTGGTGTGAAGATTGCTGCAAATGACGCAGTGGGTGTTTGGCGTCTTTAAGAGAAGGGTCCTGCGCTGAAGGCATCGAAGGTTGAAGAAAAAGACGTGACGAAGGATCAAAACAGTTCGAAGTGGGCAAGAAGAGAGGATAAAGCGAAGTTGTGGCAGTGGAACTAATGCTCAGGAGACCTCTTGAAAACCGTTTCTAGTGCTGCAGAAAGTTCTAGGAACGTAGTTGTATGTCAGACGAGAAGAAAGGTTTCATATTGATTTATTTCAAAAATGGATGAATTGTTATTTGTAGTAGGTTTTCTATGAGCTTATGGATTCGCTCGATCCTGTGATGCCAACTTTCCGATTGAAATGA